GGGAGTTCAGCAAGGACGTCTACCTGTCCACCATCGTGACCGAGGTGGGTGCCAGCCCCCGTCGGGGCCGGGGACATGAGAGTGAGAGACCCTCCATCAGCCCAGCCCCCCTTTAGACTCCCTCGCAGTGCCTGGGTCAGCGACCCTCTCCTGCTAAAACCTGCCCGGCAGGCGACTAGGTTATACTTCTAGCCACAGGTGTGCAGTCCAAGAGAGCAGGACTCACTTTAGGCTCATTCCTGGATCGTTTCTGTCCAGTATGGAGGTGATGGAAGAATGTTGTCACCAACTGTCTCTTCCTTTCTGAGTTTCACAACAGATGAAATTGTTTCCCAAGAGCCTAGATGATGCCCTGGGGAGGCCTAGTCCCAGGCTGCCCAGATGTAGAGCCTGAGTCACCTTCCTGCCAGGGATGGGTGGAGGGGTGTGGGGAACTTTGCTGAGCTTACATGCAGACACAGAGAAGGGCCTTGTTGCTGGGCAGGGCAGGGACAGGTCTGGCCTTTCCCTGGCCACAGACTTTGGGAGGTGTCAGGAGGTCTACTGCTCTGCCGTGTACCTTGTGGTGAGACTTCAGGTCCTGTCCTGAAGCCCCAATTTCTCCAGAAGAAAGCAGAGGACCGCCTAATGCTGGTTGGATGCAAGGAACCAAGGGAGGCGTAACCCTGGCCCCAAGGCACTCATGGAGAGACGCTCATAGAGACCTTTCTGAGCATAGGGCTGGATGGTGGGCAGGGGCTCCAACTTGTGCCACTAGTCCCTCAGTATCCTAAGTGGTTTGGTGGCAGGTTTTCTAAGTTTCAGGAATCGGGATGTATACATCTCCCCCTGTGTTTCCTGCTTAACGCCTGGTATGGACCAGGAGATGCTGGGTCAGGGCACACCCTCCTTCTGAGGAGAGCATCCTCATGGACTAGTTTCTTGCTCTTGACCATGCAAGTAGGATTGCCCTGCTTCTAACCCCTCCTCTGCTCTATATTCCTTCCAAGAAAAACCTACAAGGGGCCCCTGCTAGTCCTTTATCCCTTTCCTTCTGTGCAATACGGCTGAGGGAAATCATCAGACATTGTTTCTGGCCTTGTGCTGGACACTTAGAGTGTGGACATCTGGAGCATGGGGCCTGCCCTCAGAGCTCAGATGCCCATGGGGCATACTGGCTGTGTTACAGAGAGGGTTAACATCAACCCTGGCTAGCAATAGGGTTCTGGAGCCCAAATTCAAATCCTGACTTGCTTGTTGTGTGATCTCAGGTAAATAATTACCCTCTCTGTGGGATAACAAGGTGAAGAAATATTCTAAGAATGGGTGATAAAGAAGCTGAGTCTGGAAATATGAGTAGGACTTATCCAGGCCAAGGTTCTGGGAATGGAATTCCCATGGATTAAGGTATCTGGAGCTCAGGGGATGACAGGTGAGGCTAGAAATGCCTACAGCGGCCAGTTTACGGTGGGCCTTGTAGGTATATGGAGGAGTTGACTTTATTCTGAGGACAGTGAGAAAATAGTAAGGGTTCTAAGAAGCAAGGCCAGATGTGTGCTTTTAGAAAGAGCTTACTGTAGCTGCTACGAAAAGCAAGAAGACCGGTGAGGAAGCTGTGGAAGTCACCTCTGCGAGAGAATGGTGGCCAGCCATGGGTGATGGCTGTGGAATCTGCAGGATCTGTGGAAAGTGGGCTCAGCCTGTGGACTACCTCTGGATCCCCACAGCATTAGCACTATGTCTGCCTTGGGCCCTGAGGTGGCCATGCTTCTCTGGCTTTGATCCCCTAGCAGGGGCTCCTAGTGCTTGCACACCTTCTGCCACAGCCTGGCCTGGGGGCATCTAAGTGTAGGAAACTGTTCATCCCACCTCAGTTCCTGGAAGTGTCATCAGCACCCGAGATGGAGGCTGGACCCACTGGTGGCAGCCTTCCCTGACAGCGGGGCTGACCTGTCTGCTTTCCCCGCTGGTTTTGTGCACCTCAGGGTGTGAGAGGTAGGTAACCACTAGCCTCCAAGCCCATTGCTTCCCCTGTTGTACTCTGTTCACAGGGGTCTGTGGGCATCTCTAGTGATGCACATTGTCACACACTCACACGTATACACCAGGATTTCCTTTTTTCAGCAGACTTTCCCTTCTTCACTTTTTTTGGGAGGTGGGGGTAGGGGTAAAATAAAAGGCAAATGGGCACTGGTGGTTGGGTGGAGGAAGGAGGGAAGCAAGCACCAGGGTGAGTAGGACGGGATGGCTATCCCCAGAGGGGTGGTGGCACAGGAGTTTTGGAGTCAGACTGATTGGAGGGCCAGTTTTGACTCTACCGCCAACCACCTGGCTGACTTTAGGCAGGTTACATCACTGCTCAAAGCCTCAGTTTCCTTCTCTATAAAATAGGAATACAAGCATATGAAAAAATGCTCAACATCACTAATCGTTAGAGAAATGCAAAGCAAAACTGCAATGCGATACCACCTCGTACCCCTGAGGATGGCTACTATCAAAAAAACAAAAAAATAGCAAGTGTTGCTGACAATGTGGAGAAGTTGGAACCTTGTGCATTGCCAGTAGGAATGTAAAATGGAACAGCTGTGATGGAAAACAGTATGGCAGTCCCTCAAAAAATTAAAAATAGAATTACCATATGATCCAGAAATACCACTTCTAAATATAAATCCAAAAGAATTGAAAGCAGGGTCTCAGAGAGATATTTGTACACCCATGTTCATAGCAGCATTATTCACATTACCCAAAAGGCGAAAGCAACCAAAATGTCCATCAGTGGATGTATAAATAAACAAAATGTGCAGTATACACACACACACACACACACACACA